TTAGGAAGATCCCTCAGAATGGTTTGGAAGGGAAAGACAGGGGCAGGGATCCAGGGGACAGGAGATATCTGGATCAGGGTGGGGGGCTGAGAAGATGAGGAGGCAGGGAAAATGAATGCAAGAGGCTAGCTGGTCAGGAGTGGGAACCCTGGTGTCCAGCACACTTGGAGTGGGTGCCTATCACTTTGACCTTGGCCGGGATGTGGCCAGCGCTTTAGCGGAGAGGAAGGGTGGCGTGGGAACACCAGCCTCCTGCAGCTTCCCCAGACAAGCTAGTCTTCAAGAGATGGCAGCTGGGTCCTGACACACTTCCTCTCCTGGTGGCCCAGGCCTGCAGGCTTCCTGCCACAGGAGAGGAGGGGATAGTGGGGCCAGTTATAAACTAAGGGGAGTTCTTTAGGAACATGGGAACAGAGAGACCCAGGGCTGGGGAAACCACGGCTCATGGAATCCTAGAAGAAGAGGAGGCCAGGAGCAAATGACAGGACTCTTGGGTCTGAGGAAGGATGGAGCTGGGGGTTGGGACTTCTAGAACCTGGGGAGGAAGAATTAGAAGTGGGCTTCTGGATTGGCTGGCTCTACAGGGCTTGGGTTCCCCAACCGCAGACGTATAAAACCTCAGTGACCCACCCCACACCCCATCACATAGCGTGGCCCTTGAAGGTCTGTGTGCTTTGAGCCCTGGCCTCAGCTGCTGCCTCAGCCACCTCGTTAATGAATTAATTGCATTCTTCACAGTGTCCACCCCCGCAGCGGAAATCCAGGAGCCGGTCTGGGGGGTGGGAAGCAGGGGCAGGCAGGATATAGGGCTGTCCATCTCTCTCTCTGGCGCTCGGCCCCTCCCTCCCTGCTTCCTCAGTCTGTGTGACTTGGGGGAGGCTGTCACTCAGCTAGGGAAGACCTAGAGCTGAGGGTTCTCTGCTTTCTGCAGGGGCTAGGGCTCCCCTGTGGGCTGTGTCCCCTCTTGAAGACTCCCACCTCCCCTCCTTGCACTTTCCATTGCTTGTTGTTATTGTTAAGTGCCCTTGAGTCGATTCTGACCCATAGCGACCCTGTATTGGGCGTCCAAGGAGCAGCTGGTAAGCTTGAACTGCCGACCTTGCAGTTTAAACAGCTTTGCAGTCTGGCGCATTAACCCACAGTGCCACGCCACATCACTTAGAAGTTTTACTCTCTCAAGTGTCTCTGCATCTGGTTCAAAGGGTCTTGTCTCTGCCTGCTCTGTGTCTCTCACTCCCTGAATTTTGCCAGATGCTGTGGGGGCACACAAAGTGTCTACTAACTTAAAAGGCTGGCAGCTCAAACCCATTCAGGGGTGCTATGGAAAAAAGTGTGGTCTCCTTCTGGGGTAAAGTATACAGCCAAAAAAATCCTGTGGAGCACAGTTCTACTCTGACACTTACAAGGCCACCAGGAAATAATATTGACTCCAAGGGTTTGGTTTTGCGGATCTTTTTTGTCTCTTTGCTTCTCAGAGTCTCTGCTGCTATATGACTTAGGGTCTTATCTGTATCTTCCAGGGTCCCTGCACTGTTCCCTGCTCCTCTCATATTTTGTCCCTTTTTTTTTTCTTCTAAGTTTTAGAGCTACAACTCATATACTGTACAATTCACTTTTTAAAAGTATACAATTCAGTGGCTTTGAGAATTTTCAGAGTTGTTTCTCATTGATATCACCATAGTCAATTTTAGAACATATCATGATTGAATTATGTCACCACACCCCAAAAAAAAGAAAATATGTCAACAGTGACTCAATGGTATGTAATCATGTAAACCCCCTATGACGTGATCTGATATGATCAGCCAATCAGTTTGCTGGAGTTTATGATGATCACAGCCCTGATCCCAGGTGAGGGGAGTTTTCCTGGGGAGTGTCCGGTATCACCTTTTAGCTTATAAGAGATCAAAGGACAGAGCAATAAACACTGGAAGTTGAAAGGATCTTCCCCCAGAGCTTACAGAGAAAGTCTTTTCCTAGAGTTGGCACCTTGAATTCAGCTCCTAAACAAACTACGTGAGAATGATGCATTATGGGAAAGGATGAATTTGTTACAGCCATCCACATGGGGTGTTTTTGTTATAGCAGCACTCAGAGAAGCTGATACAGAACATTTTCATCAGTCCAAGAGTTCCCCCGTCACCCTCAGCTGTTGTCAGTCTGGTCTCTCTCTGACATATGAGGTTTTACAGGTCTGGATCTCCCAGTCTGTGGAATCTATTGGCTTTCTGCCTCAGATTTTTGGGGCCTCCAATCTCTCCAAGTCTCTGTTTACATCTCTCAGGGACTCTTGCTTTTCTCAGCCTCTCACCCCGAGAAGGGCTCGAATCCCTGTTCCAGCCAGAGCTGAATCCCCTTTTCTCCTCCCTCTCAGGCTCCATTTCTTAGTGTCTCAGGGACATTAAAAATGTAACAGCGTTCAGGCGGGGGAGCTGGCCCATGTGCCTGACACCCTGTCCCTCCTGTGTCCACCACTCCCTGTGGCCCACACACTGCTGGCCTTGAGGCTCATCTGTATACTGACCTCCCTGCCTGGGTCATGGATGGCATCACCAACCCTTCCCACCTGTCCCCAGACCTCGCCCTATCCACACCTCAATTTATTTCTGACCACAACCTCCTCCTATTGGTTTCTGTTTCCTATCCATTATTTGTGTCCCTATCCTTAGGCCTCTAGTCTGTTCTGTATCTCTCCCTGCGACTCCATCCTCGGCTCACCCTTCCCCAAAGTCCATGAGCAGATACCGCCCCACTTCCCCTCTGCCCAGTCCCCCTTGCCTAATGAGAGGAGACAGCCAGATCTGCAGACCGTTTTTACCCATCTCCCTCCACCCTCTCTACCACGGATGAACAGTGATCATGGATGAACCGTGAACCGTGAACCCTGGGAAGGCGAGGAGAAAGGAGGGGGACCAGCAGGAAGGAGGCCCTGCAGGGCCAGCTGGGGCTCCCTCATCTTCTGGGGAGGCCCAAGAAGAGGTAGAAGGGAGAGACAGACAGGCAGACAGGCTGGGAGAAGGAAAGAGAGTAAGAACTTCAGTGAGTCCTGAAGGGAGAGACAGAAAGAGCAAAAGGAAAAAGACAGAAATGAAGAGAGAAAGAAGATGGCGAGGAGGGAGAAAAGAAGGCAAGAGATCCAGAGAGTGGAAGGGCAAAGTCAAAATCAACCAGCAGAGAGCTGAGGCAGGAGACTCCAGGGTCAGCTGAGAGGACCGGGTGCTAAGAACTTCCACACAGAGCTAGGGGGACTTCTGAATCCTTCACCATAGCCTGGCAGAGCAGGGATTGTTTGAAGAAGGCTCAGAAGGGCTCCCACCTAGCTGAACAGAACTGAGAAAGGGTTGGAAGAGCTAAAAGCGGAGGCTCCGGTACCCCCAGAAAAGTGGCTTATCCATTTTAAATTTCTGTTTCCTCATTTGCAAAACGGGAATAGAACTTTCTGAGAAAGCCATCTAGAACCTTCCATGCGATAGGTCTGGGACTGATGAGTACTAGGCACTTACTCAGAGGGAGGGGATGGTAGGGGCAGTCCCTAGCTCCGGTATAGACTGACTCAGACACATTCTGTGGGGAACAGACACCTGAGAGTTGGCTGGGGGGGGGGGGGGGGGGGGGGGGGGGGGGGGGGGGGGGGGGGGGGGGGGGGGGGGGGGGGGGGGGGGGGGGGGGGGGGGGGGGAGTGTCCTTGCAACCCTCCCCCCCTACCCTCTACATATACACACACACTTGGAGTATCCACGCAACTTGGAGTAAACAGCTGGGTCACCTGCAGGGGGCGGGACCTGCACTTCCTCCACCTGTTCCCTCCCAGCCCCTCCCTCCCCAGGGGGCCTCGCCCACCCAGAGGGGATGGGGGAAGGAGGGAGGATTGGGCCTAGAGCAGAGGGAGTGGTGGTGGGGATTAGGGCGGTGGCTCCTCCCTTTAGTGGCTTCGAGGACAAAGGCATAGCTAGAGGAAAGATAAGGTCCCGAAACCTGGAGTTCAGAACCTAGAATCAAGTCTGGAGAACGAGCCTCGCCCCGCCCAACTCAGCTAAAGCGAAACCGGGAAAAGTTCCCCTGGGAGGTCCCGGCCAACCACCTCACTCATCCCACCCCCGCTCACACCGGAGAGGGAGCGGTCCTTCTCTTCTACTGGGACCCAGCTGACCCAGTCTTCCTCTGGATATCTGGAACCAGAGAGACGGTGTCCCTGCCCACAGATACACCTGGATCTCAAGCGACATTTTTCTGCCCATAATGAAATCTGAAGCCCATGAAAACTGACCTTCCACCTCCACAGAATTCTACCTAACACCCAGGAGACAGAGCCCCTCGGCCCACAATAAAATCTGGAACCCACAAGCTTGAAACACCCCCTAGGTTCTATTTCTACCTGGACCCCATTTAACTGAGCCCCTGGTCATAATTCTACCTGGGACCAAGGAGACAGAGACCCTGGTCCCGAATTTTTCTAGCGCCCAGGAGTTTTCTCCAGCCCCTTGTTTTCTGGGGCCCATGAGAAGAACCTGGGTTAAATCCCCCTCCAAGCCCTCCCTCAGGTCGCCCGGACTCTCCTCTACGACCCTCCGAGAGATCCCAAATCCGGACTCCCATCCTTCTTCTCGAGGTCAACATTAAGCCTCCTGCCCTCAGTACTCAGGCTGGGAGAGAAGGGAATAGGGGGAGGTGGTCTGCCACAACACGGAGACCCTCCTACTGGGAGGGGGGAGACATTCCCTACATTCCTGAGTAGGGAAGCAGAGACGGAAACCCGGATCCGGGTTAACTGAACGGCGCAGGATGGGGAGGGGGCGCGAGGCCTGTGGCCAACCTAGAGTTTAACCCTTTCGGTGGCAGGATCGGAGAGAGGGGAAGGGAGGGACAGAAGTTGGGATTAAGAATGGGGGTGGGGTGGGTGGGATGCAAAGAAGAGTCAGCCAGAAGGAGACTCAGTGAACGGCGAGTGGGGGAGGGTCCCAGCGTGGGAAAACTCCCCAGGGCTGTCCGCGATCTCTCACCGGTTTTCCAGAGCAGAGGCAGCAGCAGCGACAGCAGCAGCGTCGGAGACGATTTCGACGGCCGGAGGGCTGCGGCCCGGGCCATGGAGGGCCCGGGAAGGGACTGGGCCCCGGTAGGGAGCCGCGGGCCACTAGGCGAGCACCAATCAGGTTGGGCGGGGGAGCAGGTGCCTGAAGGTCTCCGGCTCCAGGCCGGTTATTGCCGCGCTCTGCCTTCCAGCGGCTGCTCCCCCGGCCCCTGGCTCTGTTCGGGCTTTTCGGACACTCTGACGTCACAGGACCCACCCCTTTGCTGCTGGTCCCGCCTAGTGGACCCTGGCTCCGGCCCCGCCCCCTCTTGGGAATCTTTGCGGATCTGGTCAACAAGATTCAACCCCTGCACCTCCCAGGATTCCACACCCGCCCAGCGCAGGACTCTGACCCCCTACCCTTCTCAAGGCTCCACACTTGTTCCCTCGGCGGACTCTGACCCCGCCCCTTCCTTCAGATCCTGACCCCGCCCCCTCCCGAGGTCTTCATCTCTCCCCCTCCCCCAGATCAGGACCCGCTCCTTTCCCGGATCCTGACCCAGCCCCTTCCCGGGGTTCTTCGCTCCTCTCCAGGAATCTATGCTCGCCCCTCGTCCACGATCCTATCCGTATCCCTCTCAGTGTTCAACACTCCCCTTTTGGGTATTATATCCTTGCTCCTAAAGTGTTCTAACCACGCGCACCCTTTGCACCCGAAGTGGTCCTCCTCCCCCACTGCCCGTCCGTATCCCCCCCTCAATCTGCTGGAAGATCAGCTAAAGCCTTCATTCTCCTCCTTTGGCGCTTCCGGCCGCCACGGCTCGCGTGAAGCCACGCCCCTAGGTGCAGTCCTGCCCACCTGCTCCCGGGTTTTCCTTCAGGCCTTTAGGAGCGCTGTTCCGCCTGGTGTCAAGCCAGTTTAAAGTTTTAACCTGTCCCCCTCAGCTTTGGCCCTCCCCTCACACCTGCGCGAAGCACGTGGGTTCTAGGAGACACGCCCCCTCTGGGCCCCGCCCCCACGGATACACACACACACACACACACACACACACACACACACGTCCCCGGCTGCCCAGTTCTTGCCCACCCACGGTCCAGTCTCTGTGGGCAGCTCACAGCATCCCCTTGGCCCTGTATAATCACTGCCTCGGACTCTGGGTGGCGCTGCGTCGTTTGTCTCGATTTCTCTCCGCCTCGCTTAATGTTTCTGCCTTTCTGTCTCTCTTACTATCGGGGGTTTCCCTCTTCGACCTTGTGTCTCTCTGTCTCTGGGTCTCTCGGGCCCTCACCCCGGTGTCGATCTGTGTTTCTGTCACTGTTTCTGGGTCGCGTGGTTCCCGTGTCTTTCTGATTCCATCTCTGTGTCTCTCTCTCCCTCCTTGAGTCTCCGTGTGTCTCCCTGGCCTTGTCTCTTTCTGCGTCTCTATGTGTCTCTGCGTCTTGTTTCTTTCGCGGTGTCTCCTTCGATGTCTCTGTTCTGTCTCACACCGCCTTCCAGCATCCGCATCTCTTCCCCCACACCGCCTACTTACCTCAGTCGCTCACCAGGGGGCAGCACAGACCGGGCCCAGAATGGGGCTGGGCTAGGGTCCAGCCTCCAGTCCCGCTGGTCCCTCCCCGTGTCCTTGTCCCACTTCTCCTATCTCCCCAGACTCCCGCCGCTGCTTGCCTCTTTGTGTCTCTCCCTCTGACTTGGCCCCTTTGTCTCTCCCTGGAGGCTCCCGCTCCTCCCCACCCCCACCTACCTCTTCACATTCCTCAGACTGCCTGGGGGAGCTGGTGAGGGTGAGAGTGGGGGGCGGAGGGAGAGGTGCCTCCATTTCTTGAGGGCGAGAAGCTGATCAGCTGGGGAGGGAGGGTTGTGCTTGGGGGGGATTCTTGCCCTAGCAACAATGACCAACCCTAGGTGGACAAATCGCCAGGAGTGGAAATCTCCCAACCCGAGTTCAAGTTCTGGTAGTTATACTATTAAATAGATGAAAGACTTCTATAAACCAGGCCCTAATCTGAGTGCTCTCCATGAGGACAAGAGGGCTTCAAAACGTTCCTGAAAAAATGGAATTGAAACATGCTGGAATTTTTCCACCATCTTTTTAAAGCTCTGCCTATGATTTCGGAGAATTTACACAGCGCACTAAGTGATAAGGTAAACTGGACTTGGCCCAAAGTCACAGTTAGAAAATGGCTGACGCAGAACTGACATGTTCTAAGCACTTTGCCTTAGTTAATGTCTCAGAAGAATCCCCTAAAGAGGATACTTACTATTAGTATACTCAGTTAATTTCACTGAAAAGTAAACTGAACCATCCAGCGGCTGTTTGTCCCAGCCCTCCCACCCAACAAGGCTGAAATTTGAATTTTGACAACCTAGTACCTTTCAGTTGACTCTGACTCAAACAGATTCTACAGAGCGGAGCAGAACGCCTCCTTAGGGTTTCTGAGACTGTTATGTACCAGAGGTATCTTTCTCCTGAGGATCGGCTGGTGGGTTTGAACCACCAACTTTGCAGTTAGCAGTCCAACACTTACCCCACTCCACCACCAGAACTCAGGCTGTGCTTTTTATTATCTATGCCATCTGAATTCCAGTTACTGTGGATGAAGGGCCTTTAAAAAATTCATGGGGAAAAGTGGAATTGATAACGGAACTTTTCCACGAACTTTTGGAAGCCATCTTGTATTTCAAGCTTGGCATTGGTCTGGGGGGAGGTTGCTTTGACAAATCAACTAATCATATCCTGTCAAGCTGATTCTGACTCATGAGGACCCTCATGTTTTACAAACTAGAATTGAGTTCCACAGGCCTTCTTGTCTGTAATCATTATGGAAGCAGCTTTCTAGATCTTTCTTCCTTGGTGCTTCTGGGTAGTTTGAACCCCCAATCTTTAGGTTGTGGGACCTAAAGAAGAAAACTCCATTTTCTACCTGGGCTAGAGCACGTCTGCCTGTCTCAGAAATGTGCCTGGTCAGTTAGTACCAGACGGAGATGACCCTCTTCCTCTACGAGCCATAAAAGAAAGCCTATACATTCCTGACAGCCCCAAGGCTAAATAATGTATGTCTTCCTTACCCCAATTAAGCTGTCCTAGGTATAGATAATGGCCAATCAAATCGTGTTGCCCCATACCTTACCAAGTGTAAGCCAATCCTAGAGAAGTTAAGTAGAAGAACCCCGAACCTGTTTGTAAACTCTATAAAAAACCCCACCAACAAAGAGTTCCAAAGAGTTCGGGGCTCTAACCCTAATCCGCTGCGTCGTCGGATACTGATGGAGTCCTGGCTCGAGCCTGAATAAACAACCCTTGTGCACTTGCATCAGTGTCAGATCCTGGGTGATCTCTGGGGACCCTGAATTCTGGGCATAACGAGGTTAGCAGCTTAGTATACCGTTTGCACCATCAGGGACCTTGCCATTTCATAATAAACACATTCTAATTGTGTGACGCTGTGGGTTAATGCATTGGACTGCAAGGTCGGTTTGAACTGCAAGGTTGGCGGTTCAAGCTCACCAACCACTCCTTGGAAATCCTAAGGTGGTGGTTATGCGCCATGGAATCGGTTCTGACTCATAGCAACCCTGAGGCTGTAAATCTTTACGGGAGCAGAAAGCCTCATCTTTCCCCTGTGGAACCACTAGTAGTTTTGAACTGTTGACCTTGAGATCTGCAGCCCGACTCCTCCTCGTAGCCGCTACACTACCAGAGTTCCTTTGGAAACCCTATACAGGGTCGCTATGAGTTGCAACCGACTGGAAGGCATTTAACAATAACCATCTCTGTCTTTCTTTCCCCAGCCTGGGGCCAGCCTGGGGGGCCAAGACCTCCAGATTTTAGCACCAGCCTTGCCACTAACTTGTTTCGCAAGTTCTACAAGTACTGGTCCAAATTGGGTTGGGCCACTGTTCCTTTCTTACTCAAAAGATTCAGTCTTCAGAGAAACTTCCAGGAAGGCCTCTCATTAGCTCCTCTTCTGGCCTCAATGGGTCAGCGTCTCCTGGCTGTTCTCTGGGGAGGATGGGCTGGAGGTTACTACTATTGAAGAGTCTGCTGTTACGGTTGAAGATTTATAACCCCGACAACCCTAGGAAACAGTTCTGCTCTTGTCCTATAAGGTCGCTATGAGTCAGAAGGGCAATGGTTTGCGGGTTGGGTCTCCCACAGGGCACATGCATTAAGTCTGGGTTCTGTTGTTTGTTGACAAGACTGGGTGAGTCCAGTGTCAAAGAATCCCAAAAGTGGCACTTCACTGAAGACGCAGGGACGCCAGGCCAAGGACTTCCTGATAGGGTTGTAGAGAGAACACCAAACATTTTACCTGTCTTTCTCCATTCCTCCAGAAGTTGTTGTTGTTGTCAGGTGCCATCAAGTCCGAACTGACTCATAG